AGAGATCTGTAACCTACAATGGTAGATACATTAGATTGGCAACAGACCTATCCACAGAGACCTGGCAGGCCAGAAAGGACTGGCAAGATATCTTCAGAGCACTACACGAGAAAAATATGCAGCCAAGAATACTATATCCAGCTAGGCTGTCATTGAAAATAGAAGGAGAGATAAAAAGCTTCCAGAACAAACAAAAACTAAAGGAATTTGCAAACACGAAACCAGCCCTCCAAGAAATATTGAAAGGGGTCCTCTAAGCAAAGAGAGAACCTAAAAGCAGCAAAGATCAGAAAGGAACACAGACAACATACAGTTAACAGTCACCTTACAGGCAATACAATGGCACTAAATTCATACCTTTCAATAGTTACCCTGAATGTAAATGGGCTAAATGCCCCAATCAAAAGACACAGGCTATCAGATTGGATTAAAAAACAAGACCCATCAATACGTTGTCTGCAAGAGACTCATTTTAGACCCAAAGACACCCCCAGATTGAAAGTGAGGGGGTGGAAAACCATTTACCATGCTAATGGACACCAAAAGAAAGCTGGGGTGGCAATCCTTATATCAGACAAACTAGATTTTAAAACAAAGACTGTAATAAGAGATGAGGAAGGACACTATATCCTACTTAAAGGGTCTATCCAACAAGAAGATCTAACAATTGTAAATATCTATGCCCTGAACATGGGAGCAGCCAATAATATAAGGCAATTAATAACAAAAGCAAAGAAACACATTGACAACAATACAATAATAGTGGGGGACTTTAACACCCCCCTGACTGAAATGGACAGATCATCTAAGCAAAAGATCAACAAGGAAATAAAGACTTTAAATGACACACTGGACCAAATGGACTTCATAGACATATTCAGAACATTCCATCCCAAAGCAATGGAATACACATTCTTCTCTAGTGCCCATGGAACATTCTCCAGAATTGATCACATCCTAGGTCACAAATCAGGTCTCAATCGGTACCAAAAGATTGGGATCATTCCCTGCATATTTTCAGACCACAATGCTTTGAAACTAGAACTCAATCACAAGAGGAAAGTCAGAAAGAACTCAAATGCATGGAGGCTAAAGAGCATCCTACTAAAGAATGAATGGGTCAACCAAGAAATTAAAGAAGAATTAAAAAAATTCATGGAAACCAATGAAAATGAAAACACAACTGTTCAAAATCTTTGGGATACAGCAAAGGCAGTCCTGAGAGGAAAGTATATAGCACTAGAAGCCTTTCTCAAGAAACAAGAAAGGTCTCAAATACACAACCTAACCCTACACCTAAAGGAGCTGGAGAAAGAACAGCAAATAAAGCCTAAACCCAGCAGGAGAAGAGAAATCATAAAGATCAGAGCAGAAATCAATGAACTAGAAACAAAAAGAACAGTAGAACAGATCAACGAAACTAGGAGCTGGTTCTTTGAAAGAATTAACAAGATTGATAAACCCCTGGCCAGACTGATCAAAAAGAAAAGAGAAATGACCCAAATCAACAAAATCATGAATGAAAGAGGAGAGATCACAACCAACACCAAAGAAATACAAACAATTATAAGAACATATTATGAGCAACTCTATGCCAGCAAATTAGATAACCTGGAAGAAATGGGTGCATTCCTAGAGATGTATCAAATACCAAAATTGAACCAGGAAGAAATAGAAAACCTGAACAGACCTATAACCACTAAGGAAATTGAACAGTCATCAAAAATCTCCCAAGATACAAAAGCCCACGGCCAGATGGCTTCCCAGGGGAATTCTATCAGACATTTAAAGAAGAATTAATACCTATTCTCCTGAAACTGTTCCAAAAAACAGAAATGGAAGGGAAACTTCCGAACTCATTTTATGAGGCCAGCATTACCTTGATCCCAAAACCAAAGACCCCATCAAAAAGGAGAATTACAGACCAATATCCTTGATGAACATGGATGCAAAAATTCTCACCAAAATACTAGCCAATAGGATCCAACAGTACATTAAAAGGATTATTCACCACGACCAAGTGGGATTTATCCCTGGGCTGCAAGGCTGGTTCAACATCCGCAAATCAATCAACGTGATACAATACATTAACAAAAGAAAGAACAGGAATCATATGATCCTCTCAATAGATGCAGAAAAAGCATTTGACAAAGTACAGCATCCTTTCTTGATCAAAACTCTTCGGAGTATAGGGTTAGAGGGTACATACCTCAATATCATAAAAGCCATCTATAAAAAACCTACAGCGAATATCATTCTCAATGGGGAAAGGCTGAGAGCTTTTCCCCTAAGGTCAGGAACGCGGCAGGGATGTCCACTCTCACCACTGCTATTCAACATAGTATTAGAAGTCCCAGCCCCAGCAATCAGACAACAAAAAGAAATCAAAGGCATCCAAATCGGCAAAGAGGAAGTCAAACTCTCACTCTTTGCAGATGATATGATACTGTATGTGGAAAACCCAAAAGACGCCACCCCAAAACTGCTAGAACTCATACAGGAATTCAGTAAAGTAGCAGGATATAAAATCAATGCACAGAAATCAGTGGCATTCTTATACACCAACAACAAGACAGAAGAGAGACAAATCAAGGAGTCTATCCCATTTACAACTGCACCCATTAGATATCTAGGAATAAATCTAACCAAAGAGGCAAAGGATCTGTACTCAGAAAACTATAAAATACTCATGAAAGAAATTGAAGAAGACACAAAGAAATGGAAAAACGTTCCATGCTCATGGATTGGAAGAACCAACATTGTGAAGATGTCAATGCTACCTAGAGCAATCTACACATTCAATGCAATCCCCATCAAAATACCATCCACTTTTTTCAAAGAAATGGAACAAATAATCCTAAAATTTGTATGGAACCAGAAGAGACCCCGAATAGCCAGAGGAATATTGAAAAAGAAAAGCAAAGCTGGCGGCATCACAATTCCGGACTTCCAGCTCTATTACAAAGCTGTCATCATCAAGACAGTATGGTACTGGCACAAAAACAGACACATAGATCAATGGAACAGAATCGAGAGCCCAGAAATGGACCCTCAACTCTATGGTCAAGTCATCTTTGACAAAGCAGGAAAGAATGTCCAATGGCAAAAAGACAGTCTCTTCAACAAATGGTGTTGGGAAAATTGGACAGCCACATGCAGAAGAATGAAACTGGACCATTTCCTTACACCACACAAAAATAGACTCCAAATGGTTGAAAGACCTAAACGTGAGAAAGGAGTCCATCAAAATCCTAAAGGAGAACACAGGTAGCAACCTTTTCGACCTCAGCCGCAGCAACTTCTTCCTAGAAACATCGCCAAAGGCACGGGAAGCCAGGGCAAAAATGAACTATTGGGATTTCATCAAGATAAAAAGCTTTTGCACAGCAAAAGAAACAGTCCACAAAACCAAAAGACAACTGACAGAATGGGAGAAAATATTTGCAAATGACATATCAGATAAAGGGCTAGTATCCAAAATCTATAAAGAACTTATCAAACTCAACACCCAAAGAACAAATAATCCAATCAAGAAATGGGCAGAAGACATGAACAGACATTTCTCCAAAGAAGACATCCAAATGGCCAACAGGCACATGAAAAAGTGCTCAACATCGCTTGGCATCAGGGAAATCCAAATCAAAACCTCAATGAGATATCACCTCACACCCGTCAGAATGGCTAAAATTAACAAGTCAGGGAACGACAGATGTTGGCGGGGATGTGGAGAAAGGGGAACCCTCCTACACTGTTGGTGGGAATGCAAGCTGGTGCAACCACTCTGGAAAACAGTATGGAGGTTCCTCAAACAGTTGAAATTAGAGCTACCATTCGATCCAGCAATTGCACTACTGGGTATTTACCACAAAGATACAAATGTAGGGACCCGAAGGGGTACGTGTACCCCAAAGTTTATAGCAGCAATGTCCACAATAGCCAAACTGTGGAAAGAGCCAAGATGTCCATCGACAGATGAATGGATAAAGAAGACGTGGTATATATACACAATGGAATATTATGCAGCCATCAAAAGGAATGAGATCTTGCCATTTGCAACGACGTGGATGGAACTGGAGGGTGTTATGCTTAGTGAAATAAGTCAATCAGAGAAAGACATGTATCATATGACCTCACTGATATGAGGAATTCTTAATCTCAGGAAACAAACTGAGTGTTGCTGGAGTGGTGGGAGGTGGGAGGGATGGGGTGGCTGGGTGATAGACATTGGGGAGGGTATGTGCTACGGTGAGCGCTGTGAATTGTGCAAGACTGTTGAATCACAGATCTGTACTTCTGAAACAAATAACGCAACATATGTTAAGAAAAAAGAAAAAGAAGAAGATAGCAGGAGAGGAAGAATGAAGGGGAGTAAGTCAGAGGGGGAGACGAACCATGAGAGATGATGGACCCTGAAAAAGAAACTGAGGGTTCTAGAGGGGAGGAGGGTAGGGGGATGGGTTAGCCTGGTGATGGGTATTGAGGAGGGCACGTTCTGCATGGAGCACTGGGTATTATGAATAAACAATGAATCATGGAACACTGCATCAAAAACTAATGATGTAATATATGGTGATTAACATAACAATAAAAAAATAAAAAAAAGGAAAGATGTGATATATAGATATATATAATGGAATATTACTCAGCCATAAAAAAGAATGAGATCTTGCCATTTGCAACAACATGGACGGACCTGGAGGTTATAATGCTAAGTGAAATAAGTCATTCAGGGAAAGACAAATACCATATACTCATATGTAGATTTGAAGAAACAAAACAAAACAAAAAGCAAACTCTTAAATATGGAGAACAAACTGGTGATCTCTGCGGGGGGGGGGGGATGGCTGAAATAGATAAAGGCAATTAGGAGTATACTTATCTTAATGAGCATTGAGAAATGTATAGAATTGTTGAATCATTCTATTGTACACCTGAAACTAATATAACACTGTATGTTAATTCATACTTGAATAAAAATAAAATGTGTTTTTAATAGTTACCTGAAAATCTTTTGTTGACACCTTCTGGTGTGGTTAAGAAAGTTCCAGTAGAAAACTTGCAGAAGGCATGTCAGAGGCTTGGAAGGAGGTCCCAGAGACTGGAGTGGAGCACTCTTTTAAGAAATGCACAAAGGATGACAGAATAGAGTACGACAGACATTGTGGGGAAAACTTCTAAGTAATAAGAAAGCATTTAGTTATGTAATTAGCAGCATTTTTTTCTTTCTCTGTGGTGCATAAAATAATGGATAATTGATGGATCTTAGATTTGATGAAATGCAGTAGTCAACTCTTGCTCATCCAGAAGTGAGTGATAAAGTGTACATTTTTGAAAAAATCACTCTAAGAAAGTGACAACATGCAGTATGCCTACTGTTTACAAATTCTTGCTAATCTGTGGATGTTCCAAGGTCACCAGGACTAGGGAATGCTCCTTCCCGGCACAGTCATTTATGTCGTCCCCAGGACCCCTTCCATGTGAGAGCAGTCCATCCAGAGAGCAATCAGTAATGATCTCCTGAGGGAGCAAGTAATATTGTGAACTTAGGGCCACAGAGAAGGAACGGAAAATGAGAGGGAGGGGAGGGTCAGTGGATTTGCAGCCATATCAGGCCTTGCCCTTCGCATCCCTTTTGAACTCCAGAATGAAGGGGAGGTCAGCTAAGAAGCTAAACATGTAACAGAATCTTTTATCTTCAGTGGTGTGGTGGTTCTTTGTTTCTAAACATTTGTTCTGGAATTATTTTGAAACTTTCGAATTATGTGTAGAGACGGTAAATGTGTGCTGAATTTTAACTAGTTTTATTGTAACTGTCATTTGAGATTACCGATCTGTACACCACAACCCCTGCCCCCACCTCTCCAATTATTCTGGTAATAAGCCGAGATTGCACTGTTCTTGAGACATGAATTGTTTTGTGAAACCGATTTTGGCCAAACACACACACCACCACATATTTCGTCAAAGGTCCAAAAGCAGAATCATCAACCGTTGAATTAACTGTTTACTAGATTTGCTTTCAGTATCTGGAGATAGTATTAAAGTTTTGGTATATATGTGCCTTTCTAGTTTTATAAATTTATATATACTATATTTATATAATACATAAAATATACAATATTGTATATCAGTTATATATTGCATAATATATATAATACATATTAATATTTTCCTATAACATTAAATATTTTTAAAAGCAGAAATTACCAATCATGGTGTGGACCTGTTTGGAACATCACAATCTCTTGTAACAGGTACCAAAATTAATTGTGCCCAGTGGCTAAACTGATGCTTGAGACATGATTTTTCTCTTAAAAAGCAGTAAGTAATTCATGGTCCTCAACTCTGATAAGTTCCCCGTGCTCTGCTGGGCTTTCCTATGGGAAGACCATGGAAGAGTAGCCTGACAGCTCACAGTCCCCCAGTCCTCTTACCCAACCAGCAACCCTTACTGAGATATTTTGATGATTCAAAATAATTCTAATTTGTGTGGGCTGGAGTTTTACAGATAGTTTTGCTTTTCTAATAATTTAATCCATGGATCAGTTCTTAATATAGCTTTATTGAGATATAATTTACATATTATCAACTTCACTCATTTAAAGGCTATAATTAGGGGTGCCTTGGTGGCTCAGTCAGTTAAACACCTGCCTTCAGCTCAGGTCATGATCTCATTGTCCTGGGACTGAGCCCTGCCTTGGGCTCTCTGCTCAGTGGGGAGTCTGCTTCTCCCTCTCCCTCTCCCTCTGTGCTCTCTCTCTGTCTCAAATACATAACTGAAACCTTTAACAACAACAACAAAAAATAAAGGCTATAACTGAATGATTTTTAGTGTATTTACAGAGTTGTGCAACCGCCACCATAATCTAACTTAGAACATTTTCACCATTTCCGTGGATACATTTTTTTAAATAAGGATAAATGTAGACAATGCATAGTGCACTTATGTTTCTTTTGCATGACCACTGCAGGCTAGAGAATGATATGACCATAGTCATTATGATGAGAAGTCAAAGGAGAGAGCCATTGTGAGTGAAATTTGCTACAATGTCATTCACATTAATAAGCACAACATTTGCAGGGCGCCTGGGTGGCTCAGTCGTTAAGCGTCTGCCTTTGGCTCAGGTCATGATCCCAGGGTCCTGGGATCAAGCCCTACATCGGGCTCCCTGCTCCACGGGAAGCCTGCTTCTCTCCCTCCCACTCTCCCTGCTTGTGTTTCCTCTCTTGTTGTGTCTCTGTCAAATAAATAAAATCTTAAAAAAAAGCACAACATTTGTAGATTCTACATAAATATATTTTAAAAATAAAGCAAGTCTTGTCTGCAAATTCTTTGTGAAAGTTCATACTATCTTGCTTTATTAACATTACATGTATAATAGAGGTCTGCAATATAAAACTCATAAATGAAAAGTAAATTTTGTCATTAAAGTAGCTCAATCACATTAAAGGGTCAATGAATGTATATATTATAGAATTACAATAAATATGATTTGAATGAGTATGTGAATTAGAGCAGAGAAACAAAGCAGGGTTTTTAGAGGCCATCCTGGGAACTTAGCTTCATTTCACAGATACACAGAATCTTTTGTTATAACTTGTTCTACCAGAATTGTGTATTAGTTTTCACAATCACAGTTTATATTTTTCCAATAATTTATGCCTTTCACTAGGCTCCTTAAATGTCCTATACATCTAGTTAAGCAAGTAATGTACCTGAGAGCATGTATAACGTTTTTAACTGTGTTACAGAGCACAGAGGAATCTAATTCCATTTGAGATGGATCCCAACTTATCTGGTCACTAGCAGATTCTTTACATTCTTTGTTATTTCTTTTAATTAGGAACCGCCCCCCCCATCCTCTTTTCTTTTTTTCATCTTTAACTGAATGGAGATTAATTCAGCAGATAGTTACAAAAGGTTACATTTTTTCTGCAGAATTACACTGTAATTGTCATTCGAAAAAGCATTGTTGGTTACTTTTAGTAAAAGAAAAGGTAGAGAGATTCCATATTAAATCTGATTGCAGACCAGAAACCAATGCCAGTAGTTTAATGGGGAAACCAAGCAGAGAGAAGCAATGAGGTGTCTACATTACAGGGGTGGAACTTATTCAGCTTTTGCTCCAGACTTTCCATGACATCACCAGACTTCCCTAGCTGGGTAATGTTTCAAGATCACCAAGGCCCCATTAGGGCTAAGTATAGTGTGGATATGAAGTACACTCACCCGTGGGTGGTGGTAGGATGTCTTGAGTTTCCCAGGAATGTAGTCCTGGGAATTTTTTGAACTGGTGACAGCTTGAGTTTAATGGAAATTGGGATGGGGAGGGAGGAGTCTGGGAGCCAACATGGAAATGTTTTCAGAGACTTTTCTGACTGCTTAATTTGGAGGGAGGTCTATAAATGCCTCTGAAATGTTCTCTATAATTGTTTGCTATTTACCATTCCCATTGGATCTTTTCCCACTGATCTTTTGTTATAAAAAATTTTCAAACCTACAGCAAAGTTGAGAGAATTCTGAACACCTACGTTCTCTTGTCTTTTTCTTCTTTGTGTGTTATTTTTTGCCTGTAATTACATAAAAGGTCTTAAATGGTGGTGTTTACCCATTACTTGTTAAAAATGTTCTCTGTGGTATTTGTGCTTTGACGTAGGTTCTGCACAGCACTTTGAAGCATGGCATTTCCTTAGTTTTTTTCTAAGATTCTTAACACACTAATAAACATATTTTTAGGATTGGTCCATCACAATTTGATGTTGCAGTTCTGGTTGCACTTTTGAGAAGGTTTGGCTGTTGCAGACCCTGCTTCCTCCATGGGATCCCAAGTTAACCTTTCAGCTTTGAACAGAAAAGCCCTATATTCTAGATCTTCTCTCCCATTTGAAGAATTAAAAACGACTGTCTTTCCAGAAGTTCATTCAAGTCTCATTCATGAGAGAAAATTGGGCTAATGGTTTGGAAAACCAAAATGTAAAAACAATTAGAAAATGTGTTTTCATTTTAACTCAAATTCTCAATGAAATCATTTTTAAGAAAAATTCAGTAACCAGATTTAAGTCTCTGAGGTTTCCTGCTTGTTTTGGTTGCATTGTAAGACATGAAACTAGGAAGAAAAGAGAAAGATGGAAAGGAAATAGATATTTTTGCCCTTGAATTATTAGAATTCACTCAAATAATTTCCATTTCCTTCTTCCTCAGGTTCTCACCAAAATCGCAGTAATCACACAGTCACTTACATAGACGTGAGGCTGAAATAGATCTCTGGAGATCTCCTGGATGTCTACTTAGGAGAATAGTCTCCAAATAGCAGGTTTCTAACTCTTTTCACATTTCTTTGGCAGAAGGTGTTTATATCTACCAGGCAGGCAGCTAACCACTAAGTAAAAGAAGTGCAGGAGGCCAGGCTGCTCTGGGCATTGTTCTAATGCTCCTGCATCACAATGTGCTGACATAGTCTCTGAAGTAAGAGAAGAGTGCTGGGACGGAGCAGCCCTCACGTCAGCCACTGAGATCAAGTGTTGCTAGCATTCCTGGGGATCCCAGATGGCTCAGGAGTGGTAGTTCTGGTTGTGGTGCGAAGTTTACAGAGGCTTCCTCAGAGAGAAAAGTCAACTTAGCAGGAAAATCACCATGGCAAAGATCTCATACTGAGAAAGTTGAAAACACTTTATATTGCTTACCATTCAATTGATAATTTATCCATTTCCTTATATCCTAATTTTCAGAGACTTAAACATATTTAAGTCACTTTGAGCTTTTGTACAGAAAAGCTTCAAGAGAATGTAGCATTCTTAGAGAGCAGAGGCATCTTCCTGCCTCCAGCATCTAGTGTATTCTGGACACATGCTATATAGTAGGCACTCAGTGACTATTTGTTGGATGAATTAATGAATATGAATAAATACATGGCATTCTCTCTCTCTGAGCGTCTTCTCTCTCTCAAGGCTACAGTAGTCCCTCTTTCCCTTTCTGTGGCTTCAGTTACCAGTGGTCTGGTCTGGAAGCCGATGATCCTTCTGATGATTTGTCAGAAGGTCAATAGTAGCCTAACACTACATCACAGTGCCTATGTCATTTCCCTCACTTCTTCTCATCATGTAGACATTTTATCATCTCACATCTATCACAAGAAGGCTGAGTTCAGTTTAACAAGATATTTTGAGAGAGGCCTCATTCACATAACTCTTATTACAGTATCTTGCTATAGTTCTATTTTATTATTAGTTGTTGTTAATCTCTTACTGTGCCTAATTTATAAACTTTATCATAGGTATGTATGTACAGGAAAAAACAGAGTTAATACAGGGTTTGGTACCATCCGTGTTTTTAGGCCTCCACTGGGAGTCTTGGAGTGCATGCCCCATGGATAAGGAGGGACGACTGTATGTGAGTAGGTGGTTTGTCTCTGCTTTTCTGTGTGGTTAGAAGATTCTCCTCTTCCCTCTCAGATCATCCCCTTCATCCTTGTGTTTTAGCCAAGTGCTGCAGATTCCCATCTCTCTAGGCACCTCCTCGTCTGCTCATGAGGATAGAGGGACACAGGAGGATACTAACTGACCACTCAGGCCTGGGGGCCCACTACTTTAGTTAATTTACTTCATTTGGGCCACCATTCTAGACTTAAACACTTGCTTTTGACAAGGCCCAGAGAAAACTCGGTTTCTCAGAATAAACATGAACCATCCAAGTTTTTGAGAGGATGATTGTATTCCTATTTCCTCAAGAACTGTAACTTAATTTGGGACCAAATTAAGTCATGGTCACGGAGACCATGGCATCCACACTCACAGGATATATAGCAGGCAGAATCGAGGGGTGGATGTATAACTTCAATGTTTAAAGGCATCAGGCTCTGGTGAGAGCCCTCCGCATATAACTGGTTCAGTCTGTAGGCAAGGGCAGCCTCTCTGTGAGCAGGCTCAAAGGGTTTCCTGTTATCTTTGCATTAGACACTCCTTTTCCTGTCTTCTACCCTGAATGTCCACTGTCAGATGGAAAGTTCTTGCTCTCATCATATGAGTACCATTGGCTAGATTTCTAGTCATCCATTTCTTCATTCAGCATATTTATTGCATGATCACCACTTGCCATGTTCCTGTTCTTCCTGCCTCAAGGCCAGGAAACATTTTTGCATAAATCTGATCTCCTCTTTTCCATGTTGATATTAATTCTGATGTACCTTGATGAAACTCTTCAGTATTATCTCACTTCCATTTTTTTTAGGCTATTGGCATATTAAAAAGCGAAGAAGTAGCAAAAGAGGGAAATAAAAATCATGATATATTTTAAACATTTACCTTTAAAATATTAATTCTTTTTAAACATGCACGGAATATAAAACCATATGTATAACTTCATTTGGAGATGATGGCACAAGTCCAAATATGAGGTGCTCTGTCAAAATGAGGTCTGTGACCAATAAGCCTCTGTCCTTGTCCCTCATGAGATGTGCCCACTTGCTCATGCCTTCATGGACTCCTCTCTGCTGCATGTTCTAAGCTTTCCTGAAGTTTTCCTGTCAGGTTCTGTCTTTGGCTCCCTGGTGAGTGCTATACAAGGTAATTCTGTTGGTCAGTTCAGTTATGAGTACCTACTACTTACAGGGCACCATGCCATGCTGGGGCTACAAAGATGAACAGTCTTTGCCCTCAAGGAACTTACCATCAACTGGGGGAGGGACTGTATAAGCAGACTATTCCAGTGAGATGCAGTGATAAGTGGGAGCACAGATGAGGGGCACTTAGTCCAGTTTGGAGATTTGGGGAAGGGTTCCTGGAGGAGTTAATGCCCAAGCTAAGTCTTGAAAGATGAGCCATCTCGGGCAAAGGCGTTGAGGCTTAAAATGACATGGTTTGAAGGGGTAACTGTAAATGGTCCAGTGTTACATGAAGCGGGAGGGCAACAGTGGAGTTGGAGGAGGGAGGGGCTAGGTTCCAGACGGCTTTGAACACCCTAACTGGGTGCTTGGGCCTCATCTGCTGCAGTAGTTTTCTAACGAAGTCTTAGCCTGAGGAGATTTGTGATCTGGATTGATCACCCTAGCAGCAGTGTGAAGGATGGATTTGGGGAGGGCAGTTCTTGGGGCAGAGGAGAGATCAAGGTAGTAGCATTTAGAATAGAAAGGAGAGGGTTATTTAGGAACTGTTAGTAGAGTTGACAGAATTTGGTGACTAGTTGGATGTGGGGAGTGAGAAGAAAGAATGACTCAGAGGTTTCTGGTTTTGGAAACTGGGTAGACCAGAAAACAAAATGCAGACAGAAGCAGGTGTACAAGGCAGAGAGAATGAGTTCCTTGTTTGCAAGAATCCTTGTCTAGCATGGCCTTGTACTCAGTGGGCCATTTGCTATTATTTAGCAAATAATAGACTTTTTTCTTAAACTTTTAGTGCCTTCCCAATGCTCTTAGCAGATTTGGCATATATCATAAGGTGTGTATGTATTTAGTATTACACCTAAGAACCTGCACATTTGTGAGCATGATCTGGCTCCATCCTGGCTTCAGTCTTATCTCAGACTGTACCCCTATTGCTCATCATACTCTGTGTTCTTTCTGACGTTGTATTCTTTAAGCCCTTTTCTCTGTCTGAAATGCTCTTTTCTCAATTCTTAACGTGTGGGGCTTATTTTCATTCTTTAGATCTGAACTCAGATGTTACCTGTTTAGAGACCCCTTCTCCATCACTTTACTAGTGATGGTCTCTCAGCTCTAAGTCCACCATTGTGTTCTGCATGGTGGTGCTGGGGCTGGAACTCTGCAAATGGTGTCTTTCACCAGCTGGCTTCCTGTTATGTTCAACAATAGGTTGCATTAGACTACAGGGAGCTTGGAAAGCAGAGGGAAGGAAGAAGGAACTTGTGCTTCTTTCTGTTCCCTTTGTGTTTCTGTCAGTGTTGCCCTGGAAACAGCAACTGGTGCTAGCCTCTTTTTTTTTTTTTTTTTCCCACTCAGAATTAGCAGCTGGGCAGTGCCTTCTCCTTAAAGGGTTGAGTCCTAGCTCCAAAGGGTCTGACCTCTGAACGTCTAGATTCTGATTACTCTTCCTCCTGCTTCCCAGACCCAGTTGTGATAGTTGCTTCCTGTAGTTATTCCTCTGACATCTTAATGTTTCCTTTGTGCTTTTCCAGGTCTCTAACCCTTATTTAACTTATTCGTACAGTGAAGTCTCAATAGTGTGATTTGTTTTTTTTATTAATGGCTGCACCCTGACACAACAACTTAGTATGATCTAGGCCTCCACTCAGTTACTCTCTAACATATCACTGGATTTTCTTCATAGACTTTTCATAATCTGTATTTCAAATAATTTTTTTTTTCCTCAAAATCTATGTCCTCTGCTTGGATATCAGAGTCTTTGTCTCATTAATCACTGTAACCTCAGTGCCCAGCATGGAGCCTGCATACTG